CTGTTGCCCCGCTTCCGTCTCCCTGTGGCTCCTGCCTGTGGGACTCGAGGTCTTATGTTTACTCTGAGGCCTGTGTACTTCCCTTCCTGGGAGCTGCATGCACTGAATTCTAGGACCATAGCATTTGCCAGTCAGGCTGCCCAGCAGAGCCCTCCAGCCAGAAGTCACATCCGTTGCTTAATGGAGCTGGCTGGCACCGAGCAGGCCACGCACAGCACAAGGCAAAGCCTTGGCCTTCGTCTTTGCTCCAGCTGCAGCTCACCTCTCCTCCCAGCTCACAGTCATCTCAGCTTCCCTGGCCACTGAAAGTCCCCAGGTGTCCCCAGTTCTAGACTTGTGACTATGAGTCGAAAATCCTACTTACGGACCGGCAGATGGCACAGTAGTTAAGGTGCTGAATTCCCACATGGTTGACCGTGGTTTGAGTCATAGATCCAGCGACTTAAAACTCATGCTAGGTGCATGTGCATGCGTGCCCAAGATCCTGAGAAGAGAATAAAGGGGAAGGGATTGTGGCATGGCCATCTGCCAAGGGGGTTATTTTTCACTTTCTGTCTCTCTAGTGAACACATGCTCCCTATAACAAAAATCTCTCAAAAGAGAAAAAGAAAATCCCATTCATTTGCCTCTCCTCTTGCTCACTCAACCGTGTATAGGTGTTTCCTAAAAGGAAACCAGATGGTTTCTAATAGCTTTCCAATTTCTCTACTTTCAGTTTTTAAAAATCGCCCTGAAGGAATTACTTTAAGACTCTCAGTGTTGTGGTTAGGCCAGTGGAAATCACGTGTGAGCACCCACCTTCAGAGGGCTCCTTATGTGGAAGATCATGTACGATTGCTGGGGCATGTCCTTGGCCACTATGCACTCTCGCTGCTGAAATCCGCCCTGCCTTTCCAGGCTCACCCAGTGAGGCGTTCACAAAGCCAGCCAGCTTCCTGCTGTGCTCAGCTGCTCCTGGCGGTGTAGCAGTCCTGAACAGTCAAGTGCTCTCTCCTTACCTGTGACTCACACTGGTCCCGGGCTCTGTGGGAGACTTTTTTTCCCCTTCACCCAGCATACAGGGGTTGGGAAAACACTTGTGAGCTTAAGTGTGCTTAAACTCTGTCTTCTAGTGACAGATGGCTTGTGTTTATCTGAATCGGAGACGGTAAACAAAGAACGAGCAAATAGCTATAAAAACCCCCGGACTCAGGACCTCACCGCCAAGCTGCGGAAAGCTGTGGAGAAGGGGGAAGGAGACACCTTCTGTGACCTTGTCTGGAGTAATCCCCGATATCTGGTTGGGTCAGGGGACAACCCAACCATTGTACAGGTAGGTCTGATCTCAGCACTGCTAGTACCCTCGTGCGTGCTGTGCTCATTGACAAAACGGAAGCTCAAAGCACCGCCGTTCCCCAGGAAGGGTGCAGGTACAACATCATGCATGTCGCTGCCAAAGAGAACCAGGCTTCTATCTGCCAGCTGGCTTTGGAGACCCTGGAGAACCCTGAGTTCATGCGGCTGATGTACCCGGACGACGACGCGGGCATGTTGGAGAAGCGCATTCGCTACATCGTCGACCTCTATCTGAACACTCCTGACAAAATGGTCAGTGTTCCTTCTTCAGTCTCTCTATTTAATTTTAATTTTTTTTTTTTTGGAGAGGTTTTTGCTATAGGGCATGTGCACTCGCCAGAAAGAGAGAGAGAGAGAGAAAATGAGAACTCACCTCCCTAGGGGATGACTACACTTTAATCCTCTCTCCTCCATTCTCCTTGGCATCTTGGGCACACACACACACACACGGGCCCAGCGTGAGTTTAAGCCACTGGGTCCGGGACTCAAACTGCAGTTGACTACATGAGAGTCATAGTCATTGCCATTATGCCAACTGCTGGTCCCTATTTTTTAAATTGTATTTGTTGCTATTAATTTTATTATTTTCTTTTTTTAATTTGACCAGAGAGAGAAAAGGAAAGTGAGAAAGCAAGCCTCCAGGTCTAGGATTCGAATCGCAGTCAGCCATGTGGGAGTCCAGTACCTTAACCACCACACCACTTGTCAGTCCCCAGTCTCTCTTTAGTAGAAGTAATGATAACATACAATTACCGAAAGGTTTGTGTCCCTTGCACGTCACATATCTATTACATTTTACAGTGTGCAACAGTGGACAAGGAACATGGACTAGGGGGCCGGCAGGCGGCATGGTGGTTAAGGGCGCTGCATTCCCACGTGACTAACCACAGTTCGAGTCCCAGCCCTGGCAGCTTACTTTCTCACTTTCTCTCTCCCCCACAATCTGGTTAAATTAAAAAAATAAAATTAAAAAAAAAAAAACATAAATAAAGTTCTTAGAAAAAAAAGAAACATGGACTAGGAAAGGGTGTTCATTGAACTCAAGGAGCTTGGAAAGGTGTGACTGGGGAAAGCAGACATGTGCCCCGCAGGCGGCATGGCCCCTGGCTGCCCAGGCTCGAGCGTGGATGGGTGGACTTGCCCGCAAAGGCCTCCCTCCTAGGCCTTAGTAAGATGTGTGAAGGGGAAGTCGGAGCACTAGGCATGGTGGAATCAGGGATGAAAGGTCTCATTTACCTGAGTTGGTGCTGGAGAGTCTGCGTAGAGTTCAGGGATTTCACTTCCTTTTGAAGGTCACCTCCATTTGTTTATTTCCCTTTCTGAGTGTCAGTTATGTGACACTGTACCAGGCCTTACGTCACTGGCGCTCCTGTTTACTGCGTCTGTGTTGTGGCCCCGTTCTGCTGTAAAAGCCGTGTTGGATCAGTAGTGTGTTGGTCCAGGCCGCTGGCTCCCACTTGGCCACTACGTGATCTGAAGTGCAGACCCAGTGGCGTGAGCAGTATGCTGGGCATGTGCTGCATGCCCGTAACCCAAGGGGAGGACAAAGAAGGGGTATGTGGCCAGCCCCTGGGGTGTCCATTCTGACCCTCCCACCACCCCTGTCTCTCTCCAACAAGTGCATATGCCCTACAGCAAGTTTTCTTTGTAAGAATTATTTTTATTTAACTTTATTTATTTTACTTTGAAAAGAGAGGAACAGAAAGAGAGAGAGAGAGAGAGAGAGAGTGAGAAAGCAAGTCACCAGATCTAGGACTTGAACCACGGTCGGCTATGTGGGAGTTCAGCTCCCTTAACCACCATGCCACCCGCCGGCCTCCATAACAAAATTTTAAAAATACATAAAGTGACATTGTTAATGATCTTTTTGTTTTTGAAGCGTACTATGTAGTTCGAGTCCTGGACCCAGTGACTTGGGGAAAAAAAAAAAGGCAGAACACGCTGGGCACTTGAATGTGCATTTCCAAAATCGCAAAAGGAGAGAGAAGTGGAGGAGAAGGGATTGCGGTGTGACCCTGCCCCATGGGGGAAAACTTCCCTCTCTCCATCTCACTCACATGTACGTGCCCATACACATACCCTTTAACATATTTTTAAAGAGAATTAGTTGATTTTATTTATTTATTTTTTTTCAATTTGCTATAGCGCATGTGCACATATCAGAGAGACAAAGGAAAGTGAGAAAGTAAGCCTCCAGGCCCAGGACTTGAACCTCGACGGGCCATGTGGGAGTCGAGCACCTCAGCTACCATGCCACCTGCGAGCCCCTCTAGTGTGGTATCTTAAGATACAAAATTATGGGAACCAGCAGTTAGCGTAATGGCTATGTCGCTGGACTCCCACGTAGTCGACCGCAGTTCGTGTCCCGGACCCGGTGGCTTAAAACTCACGCCGGGCGCGTGTGCATGCGTGCCCAAGATCCCGAGAGGAGAATGGAGGAGAAGGGATTGCGGCGTGACCATCCCCCCTGGGGGGTGATTTCTCGCTTTCTGTCTCTGTCTCTCTGTCTGTCTGGCGAGCGCACGCGCCCTACAGTGAAAATCTCTCCAAAAAAAAAGATACAAAATTATGAGGGTTAGGGTTAGGGTTAGGGTTAGCCAGCAGGTGATGTAGTGATTAAGGGCACTGGACTCCCACATGGCTGATTATGGTTCGAGTCCCGGAACTGGCGGCTTGCTTTCTCTCTCTCTTTCTCTGTCCCTCTCTAGTCAAATTAAAATAAATAAATAAATTTAAATAAAGAATTTTTTTTAAATATGGGGACTAGCAGGTGGTGTGGTGGTTATGGGTGCTGGACTCCCTCCCACGTGACCAACCGTCATTTGAATTCTGGGCCTGTGGGCTTGTGTTCTCACTCCTCCCCCATCTCACTCTCACTCTGTCCCTCTCTGGTCAAAATAAAGAAATAAAGTTAAATAAAATAATTCTTTTAAAAAACAGAATTATTAATTTAATTTAATTTACCTACTTACTTTCATTTTGATGAGAGAGAAAGCAAAATACCAGGTCTAGGACTTAACTGTGATTGACCTAGTGGGATCCAGAGCCTTTAACCGCCACGCCATCTGCTGGCCCCTACAAGTCTTTTTAACGCCTGTCTTCACGTCAGCAGCTGTGCAGGACACAGACGCAGAGATAACTGTGCTCCCACTGCACCTTTTCCAGGGCTACGACACACCGTTGCATTTTGCTTGTAAGTTTGGGAATGCTGATGTGGTCAACGTACTTTCTTCACACCCTTTGATTGTGAAAAATCCGAAGAATAAATATGATAAGACACCTGAAGATGTAAGTCCCTGCTAAGTGCAGCTGCTGTCCGTTGTTGGAGGTGGAATTATGTAAACCAACTCAATGAAATCACAGGAGCCGGGCGTGAGCTTGCGTCTGGGCTCACCTTGGCATCCAGGCTGCAGAGTCAGAGCACAAGGAAGGTGGTGCACCGGCAGTACCGGGAGCAACCCAGCTGAACCTGTCTGCTGGTTTTACTTTCTTAGACTGTGCTCAGTCGTTCTGAATAGCTAGTGTCTTGTATCAGATTCCCTCTCTGAATGCCTCAAGCGTGAAGGTCAGAGGATGGAAGTGGTGGTGGTGATGCCATGCAGGTGAGAGTGGTGATGGTAGTGGAGGTGAGAGTGGTGATGGTGGTGGAGGTGAGAAAGGTGGTGGTGGTGATGCCATGGAGGTGAGAGTGGTGGTGGTGATTGTGGTGGAGGTGAGAGAGGTGATGCCATGGAGGTGAGAGTGGTGATGCCATGGAGGTGAGAGTGGTGATGCCATGGAGGTGAGAGTGGTGGTGGAGGTGAAGGTTGTGGTGATGATGCCATGGAGGTGAAAGTAGTGGTGGAGGTGGTGATGATCATGCTGGTGGTGGAGGTGTGGTGGTGGTGATGAGGATAACGATGCTGAAAGCACCTGTCATGTGTTCAGCTCCAGGGGCACCAGGCACTGTGCCAAGCCCCTCGTGTGTCTTACTGGATCCACACAAGCCCGCGAGGCAGGCCTTGCCATAATCCTTGACATTTGAGCAAGATACCTGTGCATCTTAGGGCAGAGGTGCATTCTGTCTGTGCGAGGTGGAAAATGAAACTGGACCTTATTAGGATCGAATGACTGGTTTGATGAATAATGCTGGTTTTCTGTAGAAAGTTTAGAATACACATAAAATAAAATTCACCAGAAAATTCTACAACTGAGAAGTTACCATTATTTTGCATATAATGTGACCTGACTGTGTGCAGATTTGTCATTATAAATGCTGTTTGGTAAAACTCATGACCTGTTTCTTTAGGTTTTCGCCAAAGGGCATGTGTGCTTGCCAGAGAGAGACAGAGAAAGGAGAGTGAGAGATCACCCTCCATGGGGATGGCCATGTTGCAACCCCTTTCCTGGGACCATTCTCCTCTTGGGATTTTGAGCATGCATGCACACATGCCCAGCATGACTTTAAAGCTACCAGGTCTGGGATTCAAACCATGGTTGGCCATGTGAGAATCCAGTGCCTTAACCACCATGTCACCTGATGGTCCCAAACTCATATTTTTAAAGCATTTGACTTCTTCATGTGACTTATGATTAAAAGTGAACTAACTTGTGTTTATAATTTTAGTTTGTTCCACAGGATGATAATTTTGTGATTCTTTTATGTAGAGTGTTGGTTTTCTGTTGTTTCTGGAAAAAATTGATTGATTGATTGATTGCCAGAGGGTTATGTGTGCTTGCCAGAGAGAGAGAAAGATCACATTCCCAATGGGGAGGGGGTCGGTGATGCCACAGTCCTTGGCCTCTGGTTCTGTATCCCATCAGGACTTGGGCGTGCACACAGATGCGCCTGGTGTGCTTTTCAGGCTGCTCAGGCTGGAGTGTGTACCACAGTCAGCCGTGTGGGGTTGACTCTTTACACAGTCCACTGAATCACTGCATTACAGGGCTTGGCCACGCTTTTACTTTTTAGTTTTACTCTAGGGAGCATATGCTCACAGAGAGACAGAAAAAGTAAGAGATCACCTGCCCAGTGGACATGGCAACCACACAATCCCTTCTCCATTCTCCTTTCAGGATTTTGGGCACTTACACACAAACCTGGCATGGTTTTTAAGCCACCTGGTCTGGGACTTAAACAGGGTAGTAGCCCATGTGGGATCCAGCTGCCTTAACCTCTGTGCCACCTGCTGGCCTACAAAAGTATTGCTACTGTCCTCCAAGAGCTGAGAACTATAACCCAGTAGTTTGTAAAAATGGAACATATGGATATACACACACACACATGTATGTAACTAGAAATGGAACATATGGATACACACACACACACATGTATGTAACTAGAAATGGAACATTATTGACGATAACATGTACGATTAAGCCACTATGCAGGATATTCTGGATTGGAAATCACATTTTGTATGCTGTGACGATGCTTAGGGAACGAACGTAAATTAATTCAAAGAAAGCTTCTGAAATTAATTAATTAATCAATTCATTTTTAAAATGGAACATTTGTGTTCCACACTAAATAAAAGCTTGGCGGGGCCGGCAGGTGGCGTGGTGGTTAAGGATGTCGGACTCCCACATAGCCGACCACGGTTCAAGTCCTGAACCTGCTGGCTTGATTTCTCACTCTCTTTCTCTCTCACTTGTGTGTGCACGCGTGCTCTGTCCCTCTCTGGTCAAATTTAAATTAATTAATTAATTAATTTTAAACAGCAAGATTGGGGCCAGCAGATGGCATAGCGGTTATATCGCTGGACTCCCAAATGACCGACTGCAGTTTGAGTCCCAGACATGGTGGCTTGTAGAACCACACCAGGCATGTGTGAGTGTGTGCCCAAGATCCCAGGAAGCGAATGGAAGAGAAAGGATTGCAGTGTGGCTGTCTCCACCAGAGGGTGATTTATCACTTTCCCTCTCACTGGATCTGTCTGTCTCTAGCTAACGCACATGCCCTGTGGCAAAAACTTCTAAAAAAAGAAGAAAGAAATGAAAAAACAGGAAATAAAAGCTCTACCTCGACCCAGGTGAACATCCACAAAAGAAACGTATGGTCAGAGAATAGGGTCCCAGGCAGGGAGACTCCTGTGGCCAGGAGTCCCAAGCACTGCACAAGCCCCGCTCCTGGTGAGCAGTGCACCTGGGTGCCCCCTCTTCCCGTGGACAGCGCACAGACCAGAGCAGCACGAAGAGGGATGTGCAGTGCCACAGAGCCCCGAGTGAGCCCCACTGCCCTGTGCCCTGAAGTCCCCAGAAACATCTCGGATTTCAGAGTGATCTTTGTGAAATCTGGAGCTCTGGAATACCATTCTGTTTTGCCAACTTTAAACTTGATTTTATAAAATAATTTAAGAGCCAGCCAATGGCATGGTGGTTAAGGAAGCTGCATCCCACATGTGGGGTTTGAGTCCTAGACCTCACAGCTTGAAAGACACTCAGGGTACCTGTAAGTATGTGCCCAGAATCCCAAGAGGACAATGGAAGAGAAGGGATTTCAGCATGGCCATCCCCCCCAGGGGTGAGTTCTTGCTCTCTGCTCTGGTGAGTGCATGGCATTCTATAGCAAACATTTAAATAAATAAATAATGATATTTTTATAAAGATAAGGATATGTTGTGGTAGAATCAAATTTAGAGTATTCATTTATGTCTCTTTTTTAATAGGTAATCTGTGAGAGAAGCAAGAATAAGCCTGTCGAGCTGAGAGAGCGGATCCGAGAGCATTTACAGGGTAAGCTGGGGCGCAGTGCTGGAGCGGGCATCCTGGGTCCCGGGTTCTGGGCCAGGAAGCAGAGGCTCGCCTCCTTCCTTCAATCCTCAGAAATGTGGCACCCAGGCTCTGCTCAGAAGCCTCCTCTCACAGTTATTCTTTTCTTTCCTGGATCTACCATTAGGCTTCCCTCCTGTTTTCATAATCCTTTCCTCGAAGTCTTACGCCTGTTCTCTGACTTTTTAACAAATTGTTTTTTTAATTTGCTATAAGGTGCATGCACTCACAAAAGACAGAACAAGAGAGAGAAAGACAAAGTGAGCAAGTGCCTCCCAGCGTGATGGCCACGTCGCAGCCCCTTTCTCCATCTTCCTCTCGGGACCTTGAGCTCATGCACATCCACACAGCACGTGTCCAAGCCCTAGGTCCAGACGTGGACGGCGCTATTGGCCACTTTGAGCGCCGCGCCACAGGCCATCCCTGTTCTTTGACCCTCTTTTACGGTCATGTCCATCTGACTCTGGCCTCACTCTGCGAGTTCTGAGGGACTCTTTTTAATTGTTTTTAATTTGGTATAGGGCACATGCACTCACCAAAGAGAAAGAGAGAGGGACTCGAACCACGGTTGACAATGTGGGAGTCCCGTGCCCTAAACACCATGCTGCCTGCTGGTCACTGAGGGACCCTTCCAGTGTGAGTCCTCATGCCTGTACCCTGCAGGTAGAGCCTTGGAGCTGTAAAGAAGAGCACCAGGAGGGCAGTGCCCAGGGCTCCTGGCTGGTTGGTTGATGAGGCTGCTGTTTGTGTCAGAAAGGGAAAGCATCTCCCTGTCAGCTCTTTCATTCCAAAGCTCTGTGTATCAGGACTTGCCTCACCGCCTCCTGCCCCTCTTGGCTCCTCCCTTAGCCCTCCTGAAAGACTCTCTCTGGAGCCTCCCTGCTGAGCTCAAGGCAGGTCTCCCTCCGTGAGGCCTCCTTCTGCTGGCTGGGATCTCCCAGTGCTGGCATCTGCCTTGTGCTGTGAACCTCAGGCCTGTGAAGGTGCTGGTTTCAGGAGGGGCTGCCCCCTTCTCTCTGTTCTCCCTGAGGTTCAAGTTACTGGAAGAGCCTTTCCTTAGCCACCTTGATTGGAAGTCAGCTTGTCCTGTGGGCTGAATGAGGGGCAGCGGACACACAAAGCTCTCTGACCCTCCTCTGTGTGCCGTCTCCCTCTCCTTTGGAATCCATTCCTGTTAACCCGTTGGCCACAGCTAAGCAGATGCCGCTGACTCACACAGCCTCACTGTCGCATGGCCATCGCCGTCCGCCTGCAAGTTGTCTCTGGGTCTTTTCCTGGTGCACAGGAGCCTTCTAGCTCCCCCACCCAGTCTGCCACATGCACAGGAGCACACACAGGAGGTAGGTCCCAGGGTGGTAGCAGCAGTGTCAAGACACCTGGAGCTGCAGGCTGCACCGTAAGACATGCTCTATGGAGCTGGTTGGTGACGTGCGGTTATCAGCTCCCACGTGGCTGACTGCAGTCCAAGGGTCAGACCCAGCAGTTTGAAAACCACACCAGGCATGGGTGTGTGCATGCCCAAAATCCCAGGAGGGTAGAAGGGAAAGGACTGCCGTGTGGCCACCCCCCAGGTGGTGATTTCTCACTTTCCCTCTCACTATCTCTCTGTGTCTCCAGCAAGTGCATGCTCTCTATGGAAACAAAAAAGACACTATATCTAGAAAGCAGGCATCGGTGCTTCGTGGGTGATTATGTTAGAGGTGAGTTTTGTGATGTCAGAAGACACCAGTATTTTCACATACCATGCGTGAATGGAGGAAAAAGCCTGCAGTTACCTATAAAATATAAGAAGACAACAACTGTGAAAAGCAGTTGTTACAGGCATTGAGAGAAAACCCCAGGCCCTGGCACCTGCTCCCAGTGCTCCCAGAGGCCTCTCCACTGGGCTCGGCCATGCCGAAGGCAGGAAGGGATGGCGCGTGACCACACGCCGTATCCTGCAGGAACTCGACGCTCCTTTGTGTTTGCCTTACTTCATGTTAGTGCCACGTGATTCCAGATCCGTGTAGAGATGTGTGTTCTGTGACACAGCTAAGTCAGTAGGAGAGGACAGAGAAGCAGAAAGGACATTGTGGAAGTTGTTTCCAACATGCATGTCGGCCTGTTCCCTCTGACCCACTGCAGGTGTGGGCAGGCATCTGCGGCTCTCCCCTTCCTTTCCCTTCCATCTCTCCCTTCTCTAAGCAAGGCGTAGAAGTTGAGTGGGTTCTGGTGCAGACACCATGCCTGGCCTGCAGTTGGCTGGGGCCCTCTCATTTGCAGTGGCCAGGCTCGAGTGTCTCACAAGTCCCACGGTGTTGACCCAGAACCCTGCACACTGGACAACAGGACATGTGATGATGCCTCCCCTTCCTCAGGTCACTATTACGTGCCACTTCTGAGAGCAGAGGACAGTTCTCCTGTCATCGGGGAACTGTGGTCCTCAGACCAGACAGCTGAAGCCTCACCCACCATCTGCCATGGAGGTGGCCCGAGAGACCCCATGCTGACCCTGAGAGCCTTTGCTGGGCCCCTGAGTCCCTCCAAGGTGAGCTGCTGTGGGAGCCTGGAGCCACTCCTGGCCCTCCCCCACTTCCACTGCAGTGTAGGCGCCCCTGCTTGCTGCTCCGTGCCCGGTTTCCACAGACCAGAGAGCTGGCAACGAGGCTTCAGGGTGAGGTGCTGGGGAGCCCTGCTCAGCACAGCTGGGTTGGCCTGGGCGGGTTGGCCTGGGGGGTTCGGGGCCAGGAAGCAGAGGCTCGCCTCCTTCCTTCAATCCTCAGAAATGTGGCACCCAGGCTCTGCTCAGAAGCCTCCTCTCACAGTTATTCTTTTCTTTCCTGGATCTACCATTAGGCTTCCCTCCTGTTTTCATAATCCTTTCCTCGAAGTCTTACGCCTGTTCTCTGACTTTTTAACAAATTGTTTTTTTAATTTGCTATAAGGTGCATGCACTCACAAAAGACAGAACAAGAGAGAGAAAGACAAAGTGAGCAAGTGCCTCCCAGCGTGATGGCCACGTCGCAGCCCCTTTCTCCATCTTCCTCTCGGGACCTTGAGCTCATGCACATCCACACAGCACGTGTCCAAGCCCTAGGTCCAGACGTGGACGGCGCTATTGGCCACTTTGAGCGCCGCGCCACAGGCCATCCCTGTTCTTTGACCCTCTTTTACGGTCATGTCCATCTGACTCTGGCCTCACTCTGCGAGTTCTGAGGGACTCTTTTTAATTGTTTTTAATTTGGTATAGGGCACATGCACTCACCAAAGAGAAAGAGAGAGGGACTCGAACCACGGTTGACAATGTGGGAGTCCCGTGCCCTAAACACCATGCTGCCTGCTGGTCACTGAGGGACCCTTCCAGTGTGAGTCCTCATGCCTGTACCCTGCAGGTAGAGCCTTGGAGCTGTAAAGAAGAGCACCAGGAGGGCAGTGCCCAGGGCTCCTGGCTGGTTGGTTGATGAGGCTGCTGTTTGTGTCAGAAAGGGAAAGCATCTCCCTGTCAGCTCTTTCATTCCAAAGCTCTGTGTATCAGGACTTGCCTCACCGCCTCCTGCCCCTCTTGGCTCCTCCCTTAGCCCTCCTGAAAGACTCTCTCTGGAGCCTCCCTGCTGAGCTCAAGGCAGGTCTCCCTCCGTGAGGCCTCCTTCTGCTGGCTGGGATCTCCCAGTGCTGGCATCTGCCTTGTGCTGTGAACCTCAGGCCTGTGAAGGTGCTGGTTTCAGGAGGGGCTGCCCCCTTCTCTCTGTTCTCCCTGAGGTTCAAGTTACTGGAAGAGCCTTTCCTTAGCCACCTTGATTGGAAGTCAGCTTGTCCTGTGGGCTGAATGAGGGGCAGCGGACACACAAAGCTCTCTGACCCTCCTCTGTGTGCCGTCTCCCTCTCCTTTGGAATCCATTCCTGTTAACCCGTTGGCCACAGCTAAGCAGATGCCGCTGACTCACACAGCCTCACTGTCGCATGGCCATCGCCGTCCGCCTGCAAGTTGTCTCTGGGTCTTTTCCTGGTGCACAGGAGCCTTCTAGCTCCCCCACCCAGTCTGCCACATGCACAGGAGCACACACAGGAGGTAGGTCCCAGGGTGGTAGCAGCAGTGTCAAGACACCTGGAGCTGCAGGCTGCACCGTAAGACATGCTCTATGGAGCTGGTTGGTGACGTGCGGTTATCAGCTCCCACGTGGCTGACTGCAGTCCAAGGGTCAGACCCAGCAGTTTGAAAACCACACCAGGCATGGGTGTGTGCATGCCCAAAATCCCAGGAGGGTAGAAGGGAAAGGACTGCCGTGTGGCCACCCCCCAGGTGGTGATTTCTCACTTTCCCTCTCACTATCTCTCTGTGTCTCCAGCAAGTGCATGCTCTCTATGGAAACAAAAAAGACACTATATCTAGAAAGCAGGCATCGGTGCTTCGTGGGTGATTATGTTAGAGGTGAGTTTTGTGATGTCAGAAGACACCAGTATTTTCACATACCATGCGTGAATGGAGGAAAAAGCCTGCAGTTACCTATAAAATATAAGAAGACAACAACTGTGAAAAGCAGTTGTTACAGGCATTGAGAGAAAACCCCAGGCCCTGGCACCTGCTCCCAGTGCTCCCAGAGGCCTCTCCACTGGGCTCGGCCATGCCGAAGGCAGGAAGGGATGGCGCGTGACCACACGCCGTATCCTGCAGGAACTCGACGCTCCTTTGTGTTTGCCTTACTTCATGTTAGTGCCACGTGATTCCAGATCCGTGTAGAGATGTGTGTTCTGTGACACAGCTAAGTCAGTAGGAGAGGACAGAGAAGCAGAAAGGACATTGTGGAAGTTGTTTCCAACATGCATGTCGGCCTGTTCCCTCTGACCCACTGCAGGTGTGGGCAGGCATCTGCGGCTCTCCCCTTCCTTTCCCTTCCATCTCTCCCTTCTCTAAGCAAGGCGTAGAAGTTGAGTGGGTTCTGGTGCAGACACCATGCCTGGCCTGCAGTTGGCTGGGGCCCTCTCATTTGCAGTGGCCAGGCTCGAGTGTCTCACAAGTCCCACGGTGTTGACCCAGAACCCTGCACACTGGACAACAGGACATGTGATGATGCCTCCCCTTCCTCAGGTCACTATTACGTGCCACTTCTGAGAGCAGAGGACAGTTCTCCTGTCATCGGGGAACTGTGGTCCTCAGACCAGACAGCTGAAGCCTCACCCACCATCTGCCATGGAGGTGGCCCGAGAGACCCCATGCTGACCCTGAGAGCCTTTGCTGGGCCCCTGAGTCCCTCCAAGGTGAGCTGCTGTGGGAGCCTGGAGCCACTCCTGGCCCTCCCCCACTTCCACTGCAGTGTAGGCGCCCCTGCTTGCTGCTCCGTGCCCGGTTTCCACAGACCAGAGAGCTGGCAACGAGGCTTCAGGGTGAGGTGCTGGGGAGCCCTGCTCAGCACAGCTGGGTTGGCCTGGGCGGGTTGGCCTGGGGATGGCCCTCCCCTGGCTGTCACCCCTGCCCTCCCTATCCCAGCTGATAGCCCTTCTTGTAGCGCCTTGCCCATCCGCGTAGGCTGCAGCTCCTGCCTACTCCTCAAGTGCCCATAGCTCCTTTCCCTGAGGCCCTGCATGCATGCCCAGCCTTGGCCCCTGTGGGCTCTGCTCACGCCATGATGCTGATAATCACGCTCATGGTGGGTTGCTAGGTCACAGGTTATGCACAATTTTAAAATTATTTTATTTATCGTCGTCATTATTCTTTCACATGAGTTTATCACAGAGAGACAGAGAGAGAAAGTGAGAAAACAAGCCGCCAGGTCCAGGACTCGAACCATGGTCAGCCCTGTGGGAGTCCAACACCTCAACCACCATGCCACCTGCTGGCCCCAGTTATGCACACTTCTATGTAGAATTTACAGTTGATGGTCATTTCATACATGTAATCTCATGTTAAAACTTCCTAAACATGGCTGGCAGTTAGCGTAATGGCTATGTCACTGGACTCCCACGTAGTCGACCGCGGTTTGTGTCCCGGACCCGGTGGCTTAAAACTCACGCCGGGCTCATGTGCGTGCATGCCCAAGATCCCGAGAGGAGAATGGAGAAGGGATTGCGGTGTGACCATCTCCCCTGGGGGGTGATTTCTCGCTTTCTGTCTCTCTGTCTCTCTCTGTCTGTCTGGCGAGCGCACGCGCCCTATAGCAAAAACCTCTCAAAACAAACTTCCTAAACATGGCCAATAGGGTGTGGTGCTTAAGGCACTGGATTTCCACATGCTAACTGCAGTGCAAGTCCTGGACCCAGCATCTTGAAAAATTATGCTGGACTTGTGTGCCCAAAATCCTTAGAGGAGACTGGAGGAGAAAGGGTTGTGGTGTGGCCATCCCCCCGGGTGGTGATTTCTCACTTTCCCTGTCTCTAATCTCCAGCAAACACAAATGCCCTATGGCAAATAATCTTAAAAAAAAAAAAAAAAAAAAAAAACAACTTCCAGAACAGTTATTGACTACTATAAAATTGTCTCCCAAATGAGATGAACTCAGTTAGGAAAAGATGGGCTCCAGAAGCATGGAGCCCTCTGAGAGCACCTCAGGTACATGTGTACCCTCTCCTTGGGTGACGGGGAGAGTGGGGGCGGTGCTCTGGGGACTCGTAGCGCCCGTCGGCCTAGGTGAGGTCTCATGCTCAGGTCTGGTCCAGATCTGGCCCTCTTAGCCAGATGAGCCACCCAAAAGATGACAGCCCTATCCTTGCTGAGGTCAGAGTGCAGCGGCTCTCAGCTGGAAGACGGCAGGGATGGGCAGGACCCAACCCAGGCTGCTGCAAACAAGGGGAGGAGAGGGCACTGGGGGCCCGCCAGATTCTGCCGTGCTGGTGGTCCCTGGACTTCCTGCATGGTATCGTTTGTGTTTTCTTCATAGGCAGAAGATTTTCGTAAACTCTGGAAAACCCCGCCTCGAGAGAAAGCAGGCTTCTTTCACCACGTCAGGAAATCGGACCCAGAAAGAGGCTTTGAGAGAGTGGGAAGGTACCTAGCACACTCACAGAATAGAAAATGCTGAGCAGTGGCACTGTGTCCCGGGTCGTGGTTGGTTTGCTGATCAATGTAGCCACATTTCATTACAGCTGTTTTCAAAACAGAGTTATTGGAAGTGCTTAGTGGGGGATTTTAAAACTTTTTATTAAGTTTTAATTCCTTGCAAATGTTGTACACATGAAAAAAATATATATTAAAATAGTCCCTGAGCTGGCCTTGTGGCCTGGTGGTTAAAGGAGCTAGATCCCACATTGCTAACCATGTGGTTCAAATCCTGGCCCAGTTAGCCTGAAAGACATACTGTGTGCACGCACACAACCAAAATCCTGATAGATGGAAAATGGAGGAGGGGCTGCTTGTGACTGCATCCCACTGGGGTGCCTTTTCCCTCTCCCTCTCTCTGGTAAGCATATGTCTCCTCTAAGAAATTATTAAAACAAACAAAAAATACCTCTTACCACACCTTGGAGTAATTGTTCAACGTATTCTCAAAGGAATTTTTTTTTTTTTTTAATTAAAAAAAAATTTTTTTTAGAGGTTTTTGCTATAGGGCATGTGCACTCACCAGGCAGACAGAGACAGAGATAGAAAGCAAGAAATCACCCCCTGGAGGGACGGCCACGCCACAATCCCTTCTCCTCCATTCTCCTCGCGGGATCTTAGGCACACACGCACATGCGCCTGGCGTGAGTTTTAAGCCACTGGGTCCGGGACGCGAACTACGGTCGACTATGTGGGAGTCCGGCGACATAGTCATTACACTAACTGCTGGTCCCAAAGGATTTATTTATTTTTAAATTTTTTTATAATTATTTAATTTTATTCATTTACTTTAATTTGACCAGAGACACATGCAGAGAGAGAGAGGGAAAGTGAGAAAGCAAGCCACCAGGTTCAGGACTCGAACCATGGTCAGCCATGTGGGAGTGTCCAGCACCCTAACTACCGCACCACCTGCTGGTGCCAGGATTTATTTTTTTAACAACAAAACCATTGGCAGATTTTTGCTATTATTTTATCTTATTATTATCATTATTATTTTTATTTTGGCCAGAAAGAGACAGAAAAGGAAAATGAGAAAGCAAGCTGCCAGATCCAGGACTCAAACAGTGGTCAGCCATGTGGGAGTCCAGTGATTTAACTGCCATGCCACCTGCTGTCCTCCGCAAGGGATCTTAATAATTCTGTATGAATGGGTGTTCATACAAAACAAAAAGGCAAATTGAATACACTTCCTCTGTTTTTCTTTTTTTTTTTTTTGGAGAGGTTTTTGCTACATGGCGTGTGTGCTTGCCAGACAGAGAGAGACATAGAGACAGAAAGCGAGAAATCACCCCCCACCCCAGGGGGGATGGCCACACCGCAATCCCTTCTCCTCCATTCTCCTCTCGGGATCTTGGGCATGCACGCACACGTGCCCGGCGTAAGTTTAAGCCACTGGGTCCGGGACTCGAACCACAGTCGACTACGTGGGAGTCCAGCAACATAGCCATTACGCTAACTGCTGGTCCCTACACTTCCTCTGTTTAAAACACAGGCAGATGTGGCTAGAAATTGCTGTAAAAAGAAAAGTCCACAGGGGCCAGCAGATGGTGTAGTGGTTACGTTGCTGGACTCCCACATGGGTGACTGTGGTTTGAGTCCTGGACCTGGGGGCTTGAAACTCACACCAGCCACTTAGATGTACATGCCCAAGATCCAGGGGGGGAAATGGAGAAGGAATTGTGGCGTGGCCATCTCCATGGGGGGGTTGATTTCTCACTTTCCCTGTCACTGTCTCACATGCTCACACATGCTCTAGGAGAAAATCCTCTAAGGAGAAGAAAAATCCACAGTCACAGAGGTAAACGGTGATGAACATCTCGTGGTGGTGTTTGGAAGCTTTTCTCAAAACACGTGCCCAGCTTCAGGTTATAACTTAAATTTGCAAAGGACCTCTAAATATTTATGTGACTGGCCTAAACTAGGATAGAGTCCTTTCAATTTCATAGTTGTTCAATGAAAATGAAAGTGTGTTGGGGCCAGCAGGTGGCATGATGGTTAAGGGCGCTGGACTCCTACATGGCCGACCACGGTTCAAGTCCTGGACCTGGCGGCTTGCCTTCTTACTTTCTCTCTCTTATCTCTCCCCCCTCTCACTCTGTCCTTCTCTGGCCAAATTAAAATAAATGAATAAATACAATTAAATAAAAATAATTCTTTAAAGAAGAAAAGAAAAGAAAAGGACAGAGTGCCCCTGTGGGCCAGCAGGTGGCATGGAGGTTAAGGTGGGTAGATCCCACATAGCCAGCTCTGCGGTTTGAGCACCGGACCTAGTGCCTTGAAGATCATACCGGTTGCACCACACGTACGAGTGCACATGTGTTTGCCCAAAATCCAAGAAGAGAATGGAGGTGAAGGAATGTGTGGTGAGAAGTGATCTCTCCCTCGGGAACCAGCAGTTAGCGTAATGGCTATGTCGCTGGGCTCCCACGTAGTCAACCATGGTTCGCGTCCCAGACCTGGTGGCTTAAAACTCACGCCGGGCGCGTGTGCCTGCGTGCCCAAGATCCCGAGAGGAGAATGGAGGAGAAGGGATTGCGGCGTGACCATTCCCCCTGGGGGGTGATTTCTCACTTTCTGTCTCTGTCTGTCTGGTGAGCGCACACGCCCTACAGTGAAAAAACCTCTCCAAAAAAAAAAAAAAGAAGTGATCTCTCCCTTTTCCTTTCTCATTCTGCCTTTGTCTCTCTCTGGCGAGTGCATACACCCTGTAGACCATGGGTGAGGGTGTGGAGCAGTCTCCTTCCTCAGCAACTGGCTCGCCTTCACCTAACAGCCCCAGACATCAGCTGCTGGGCCTTGCTTAGGGAGCTCTAGTTCAGAACGTACAAAACATTTCAGCTACAGATTCAGGGCCAAGTAAAAACAGCACTGCACACATTGTTTTGGCACTTGGAGCATTGAGTGGCCGGTTTCTGTGCAGTCGGCTCTTTGAGTATTTTTCTGATTTCACAACTGGTTGCTTATGCTTTGTTTCTTGCAGAGAACTAGCTCGTGAGCTGAGGTATCCTTGGGCTGAGTACTGGGAATTTCTGGGCTGTTTTGTTGATCTGTCTTCCCAGGAGGGCCTACAGAGATTAGAAGAGTATCTTGCTCAGCAGGAAATGGACCAGAAGGCTCAACCTGAAACAGGAGAGAATGAAGCCTGCTGCCAAGACAACACTGCTGCCTCTGGTGAGCATGCGTGGCGAGTGTGGTGGGCAGGAAGTGTCCGCCTGTTTCTCCCATCTCGTTATGTGTTTACCGCACAAGTGGGGACGTAGGCTCGTGGTAGATGGTGTGCAGCTGTGAGAGGTGCAGCGTTGCTGCAGTGTTGCTGCTGCTGGGTCCGTTGGCGTTGTCTGAAGCTCAGCGAAGCTTACTCTGCGTTGTTCTTCCAGAACTTGCCCTAGCCAACTCCATTAGCTAGACCTGGCACACTTTCGGGGGTAGTGAGGGTGGTACGTTCACCAGAGTACTGTGTACTTGTCAGAGATCAGGGTGCACGAGCACTTCAAAAGCAGAGACTAGGGACCAGCAGTTAGTGTAATGGCTATGTCGCTGAACTCCCATGTCGTCGACTGTAGTTCAAGTCCTGGACCCGGTGGCTTAAACTCACATTGGGTGCGTGTGTGCGTGCGTGCCCAAGATCCCGGGAGGAGAATGGAGGAGAAGGGATTGCGGTGTGGCCATCCCCCCGGGGGTGATTTCTCGCTTTCTGTCTCTCTGTCTGTCTCTCTCTGAGGAGCACACGCACCCTATAGCAAAAAACTCTCAAAAAAAAAAAAAAGTAAAGACTAGAAATATGGAAACGATTAATCTGATCACGGGGAACTTAAAATGGACTCATGAAAACACCAATAATATTTAAAAAGGGAAAATATAAAGTGTAAGAAAATGACAGAAACACTCTAAAAACAAAATCAAAGGAAAAGAAATTTTCCAAAGGAAGTGAGAGCGTGCACCTCGTTAAAGAGGAACTTTCTCTTGTCTATTTTGTTTAAGTTTGCTATACATAGGGCTGGCCTTTAATTTCTTTTTCCGTTTTGCTGTGGGGCATGTGTGTTTGCTGAAGAGAGAAAGAGAGGGAAAGGGGAAATCACCCCCTGCTGCACTCCCCTCTGCAGTCTCCTCTTGGGATTTGGGACACGAACGCGCACATGCCCAGCATGTTCTCCGGCTGCCAGCTCAAACTGCACGGTTGGCCACGCAGGATCTTGTCACTCAGCTACATTGTCATTGGCTGGCCTCATTTTTATTTATTTATTTTTAATAATTTCTTTTTAAATTCTTCTATGTTACACTTTTTATGACTTTTGTTTTCTTTTTTCTTTCTTTATTTTTACATTTTTCCACATTTACATATCAAAATTTTTTTAAATTTAATTTTCTTTATTCATTAATTTTTTTTTATTTGATCAGAAGTTGGGAGGGAGGGACAGAGAGGGAAGGGGGGGGAGAGAGTGAGAGAGAGCAAACCACCAGGTCCAGGACTTGAACCATGGTCAGCCATGTGGGAGTGTCCAGCACCTTAACCACCACGCCACCTGCTGGCCCCATCAAAAAAAATTTTGCTGGGAACCAGCAGTTAGCGTAATGGCTATGTCGCTGGACTCCCACGTAGTCAACCGCGGTTCGCGTCCCAGACCCGGTGGCTTAAAACTCACGCCAGGTCGCCGGGCACCTGTGCGTGCATGCCCAAGATCCTGAGAGGAGAATGGAGGAGAAGGGATTGCGGCGTGACCATCTCTCTGGAGGGTGATTTCTCGCTTTCTGTCTCTATGTCTCTCTCTGTCTGTCTGGCGAGTGCATGAGCCCTATAGCGAAAACCTTTCCAAAAAAAAAAAAAATTTTGCTCATACTCCACAGTTCTTTTTTTTGGAGTGGTTTTCGCTATAGGGTGTGTGTGCTCGCCAGAAAGACAGAGAAGGGCAGAGAGACAGAAAGCAAGAAATCACCCCCCGGGGGGATAGTCACGCCGCAATCCCTTCTCCTCCATTCTCTCGGGATTTTGAGCATGCACACACAC